AATTTTTATCTCTTACAGTTTTTTTGTAAAATTGATAGTATTTGAGAAAAAATTGGTATAAAACTTTTTTGTTTCCCTTGACCCATTCTACACCCCCAATGCGGCTCCGACCATACTTAAGAGACACCCTGTATATACGGATACAGATTTGAAAATAATTTTATTGAATTATATATCAAAAACAATTATGTAGACCGCTTAAAGCATTCGCAACAATGATGTAAAAAGTTTTAATATTTTAACAACTTTTTGAGTATCCTACATAATTTGACGGTCCAAACAAAATTATTTTCAGATTTGTATCTAATTAAATTTTTAGATATTTCAACAAAATCGTTCTTACTGTGTCGAATAGATTTTCTAGTAAAATTGTAAATGTACAATATATACACATATTTCTAATCGGTATAATTACGCGATCCAGTCTTGGATCAACTTTTATTTTAAAGAAGATAAAGCATAAGCCGCTTCGTAAATTCCTTCATGAATGAAGTCCCGGTACGGATATATATTTTTTCAAGACATCCTGTATGGTAGCATCAGGCGCATGTAATTGCGGCGCCGCCGTCGTTACTAGATCATTGGTGAGATTTCTCCCGGTATGCAAAGTCCCATAAAGGCAACATAAAGAGAAGGTGGCTAAAGAGAAGAAGGCGAAAAAAGGAGCGTGTCTTCGTTAACGACGATCCGCATACCTGCGGGAATCGCGCGGGAAATTCCTCACTGACCGATGAAGAGAGGATACCAAGTGGAGTTCTGTTCACCTATATGTGTTTCTCTCGCAGCTACAACGATCAAACTGCGATCTTCGGGATACGAGCGACGTGATAATGAAGCTAATTCGTTAGCAAAAAAAGGCCAAAATAAAAAATTATCTCCGGCCATTAACCGTACAAAAGAAATGTCTCTTCTCAGAAAAGACTTGCAAATGCCTTTAAATGGGATGACGTAAAAATATTAGACAGAACCATCTTATAACGAAAGATTGATCTCGGAGATGGTACATATTAAGAAACAAGAATGTGGATTGAACAGGCAAAATGACACAGAGTATCTTTCTGATTCCTATACCTTCATTTTACAGTTGTTATCCCCTTCTTAATTATCCCCCTTCCTTGTTGGTTAAGTTTTAATAATGTTTTAAACTTAAGTAAAATTTTACATCGACTAATACTTGAACAATTTAACATAATTCTATATTAATATAATTAAATACAATCCGTAAATATTTCTTTTATTCATATATTTTATTATTAAAAAAAATTTTATTTCTCGAGAAAAATTTAATTTCACTTACAATCAACTAAGAGAACTCGAACTTAAGAGGAAATATTTTGTTTCTTTTCTTTTTTCTTTTGCTTCGTGCGCTTGAAAGAAAACCATCGATCCGTGAATCCACGACATGATAAGTTCACAAAGTGCGTCTGAAGAAATTCGGAATATTTATTCGCACGGTCATCACTGTCCTGTTAATTTATCTGCGGCGGACATATGAGAAACCGATTTAGCAAGACTAATGAACCGCCACTCTTTATTACAAGTTACAAGCAAAAACGGCGCGTACTTGTATTTCCTAGCTTTCTCTCACCCGAATCATGCAATGTCGATGATGCACTCTGAAGCCATTGATTGCATAAAATGCTACGACAAGGCTATAACTAGCGCCCAAGAAACCGCACAAGCCACACTTGTTTGTATCGTTTGTATCTTTTACTGAACAAGCTACATTTTTCCACAATTCTTCGTTCGAATGTAACTATACGAAAACTCATATATCGAAGAAATTACATCGTTTTATAAAGGCTGATCACAATTATCACTAATTACAGGATTGCAGTTTGCTAAATTAGATTATTCGTTAAATGATTAATACTCCTTTTATAAATTGAAAAGAAAAAAATTAATCTCATAAACACTTTATAGTAAAAATGTTTCAATTCTTAAGTTCTTAAATATCTCCGGAGATATCAAAATTGCTAATTCTGAATTTTAAGATAACCATACATAAATTTTTCTAAGAACACGATATAAAATCGAGGAAATTTGTGTAACTTAATTATCCTTACATTTGCTCAACCGCTATGATCGGCAAGCTACTCGATACGACATTCATTTATTAGCATACTTGTCGAACCGCTGAATTCTCTTCTGGCAATGCGTGAAACGTGACACGTGGCACCTAAGCGTAGACCGCAGTGTCAGTATCGGATGCCGCCGATTCGAGAGGTACCCGGTAGTGATTGTGTCGTTCGTCGCGCGTCTAGAAACCGTTCACGCGATATTTCGCCACGCCAGATCTGTTTACCTGTCCAAGTCGCTTGACCGACTTGGATGAATCGCTCGCCGGAGTTGACGTGCCAGCCGGCCGATTAACTTACTCCGTCATCGTCGTGTGGCCGATCGAACGTTCGGTTCGTTGAACTGGTTTTTGCGAAAACGCGCACTGTACCGGTAAAAAAAAAGAAACTCACGCACGCGCGGCAAAAAAACCTCTTAAACAAGAACGTCGTATAAAAAGTTTCCAGTAATTCCCCGGTAGTTCGTGAATGGACACGAAATATATATTTTTGCGAGAGAAGAAGAATTAATAATATCGAATTATATATACACACAGCTTAGAAGACTTAGATATTCAGTTCTCGAACCTTCAAAGATCTTGTATAATTTAATTACATAAGTCTGTTCTATGCGCACTTAAGGAGGTTATAAGGGTACAAAACATATTAATATTTACACTTTAAACAAACTATTATACATACATGTGAAAGTTGTGTTCATAACATTCTGTTTTTATTGAACAACGCACTGTTATAGATTATTTTATTTTATTTGATATTAGATTTTATTGTTATATAAATGAAAATTTTAAAAATAATAAAAATCTAAATTTTTTTTTTATATAAATATTTCAAGTACTAAAAATGACTTATGCAAAATTTCATTGAGATTCACCAATTTAGTTTGTAGCAAATAAATATTTTATTTATTTATTGAACAATTAATGTCTGTATCTCAATGTAACTTTACATAAATATTTTTGAATTCATAAAGTACTTGTATAAAAAAATTCAGATTTTTATTCATTATTTTATAATACATTTTCATATATTTCTATTAGAGTACAAATTTAAAAAATATTACTTTTTTTGAAACAACTTTTGATCAATTGTCTCTAATTTTTTTCTATCTCTATTTCTATTTTAAATACAATTTAGAATAATCCGTATTTTTTTTCAAATAATTCTTAACATATTGCGTTTACAACCTCCTTATAACCTCCTTAAGGGAACTTTGGAACATGAAGGACCAAAATGCCTCATTTTCCTCTCGATAAGACACAGAAGCAATTCATAGTAAGCAACGTGAAATCGAACGAGTGTAGGAAAAAAACAACAAAATCATGCTGGAACAACCTGATAAAGAACTGCCTGAAAAAATACGAATCGCGTGGCACACACGCGAAATCTCATCCGATCTAGGAAACTGCCGGCGAGGAGTCCTGTTACTCGCAAGTGGAAAGTGAACTGCAGGATTAACAGAGGCCGAGCACACGTACTTACACGCGCACGTGTGCGATCAGCTGGGATAAAATGCGATGTTAAAAGAAAAGGAGGGACGATCGAATAATCGACGATCCGCCGAGGGCGATACATGAAGCCGTGTCGCACGATCTCCGATCGCGCGACGCGAAATGATATTGTAATTCTTGCGTCGAGCGAGAGCCACTTAAGCGGCCCTCATACAATTCGTATCGCGGCAATCGAATGGGCTCTACATTCTGCGAGAATGAATAAATCTCGATTCTGCACGAAAAAAAAAAATAATTTTGCGAAAATGTCGAAAAAATTTAGCAAGATACAGATCTGAAAATAATGTTGTTGGGTCATCGAAGTAATTATGTAGGGCGCTCGAGATTGTTGCTCGTCGAAACTTTTTACGGTATTGTTCTCTCATCAGGCTCGAGTTCCCTACAATTATTTTAATGGCCCAATAAAATTATTATCAAATCTGTATCTAACTAAATTTTTAGATATTTAGCAAAACCGTTTCTTTTTTCCGCACGAGAATGGGATTTAGTATCGTGTGCTGAAGAAAAGTATATTAAATTTTACTAAATATTTAATAAATGTAAGCAGTACATATATTTATTTTTGGCACAAAATTTTGGTACAAAAACCATTAATTTAACTTAATCATCGTTTAAGTACATATTTACATACTGTAAGTAAATGTTTAGTTAGTACTAGTAAAAGAAATATTTATTAAGATTTAGTAAATCTTTTTCTCAGTGTAGACATCATATATGCTAAATAAAGCGTGCGAAATCGATCTTCATTTTCATAACAAATTTGAACCAAAGGTATTGTACGAGGGAATATTGTCCCTCGTCCTCTAACATTCGACCTCTCTTTCGATTAAATCCGGTATTAAAATTTTAAAAGTTACGTACTTTCGATCTACTTAATTAAAAAATTATTGTCAGAAATATTGACTGTGTGAGAACACCTTAAGACGACAATCGACAAAGTGTGTCAGACTTGCGAAGCCATAAGTAAAAATGGGCCATGTATAAGCACAACATTGCAAACACTCGAATATCGTTCTTCTTTTATTTTTATTCAGCGCAAAAAATATATTCAGCTGCGTTATCATATAGACTATTAACAATTATTCAACATCGGATTGAAATGTAACTACGGTAATATAATATCGAATTCTACACGTCCAAGAGATACTAATAAATTAATACCGCGATAAACGAGCTTCGAGACACAGCCCGAAAGGGCTTCTCTCACGCCGATGAAGTGGCGAAAAATTACGTCCCGCTGCTGATTTATTAATAAATACCGTTTTTACGCGTATGTGCGCGTATGTTTATTTGTCGTTTATGGTCGTATATCAGTCAAGAGATCGTCGTCAGATCTTATACCGGAGATACACGCCCGCCCGTTACGCGGAACCGTTAATCATATTTCTAACAATGTGTGATTTACGCTTACCGTGCATGATCCAAATCTCTTTTGTTGCCGAGTAGGAGGGCGGTGAAATAGGATGGCAGGCGTAGATCTGCGAGTTGTTTGAGAAGTCCACGGGCTTCCTGAAAGCTCCGTTTACATGTCACGCTGTAGACCACGACGAAGGCCTCGCCCCACCGTATATGCGAATACAGACAGCCATTCTCCTGAAAACAATCGATGGAAAACGACTGATTGCTATGACGTTCAAGAACCGAGAATCGGATTTAATTTGAAGTGTCTCTAGCTCGTATCCCCAGCGTGTTTGAACGTAAGACACTCTATTTCTTCAGAATATATTGGGTTGTTCGGAAAGTAATTTCGTTTTTTCCCAATAGAGGACTTAATTGTATTTTTTCACAGCCAACTTCACACTTAAGCCGCATAATCATTATATATTTTGATAGCTGATATAGCAAGGCTTGCTTGTGAAAAAAGTTCGATTGATTCTACGCAGTAGTTTTTAGTTGGTGCCCTATCAAATATGGAAAGCAGCATTTTCGGCATATTTTACTTTTTTACTATCGAAAAGGTAAAAATGCTGTTCAAGCAAGAAAAAAATTATCCGATGTGTATGGAGAAGATGTATTGACAGAACGCCAGTGCCAAAACTGGTTTGCAAAATTTCGATCCGGCAATTTTGATGTTGAAGATCACCACGTTCTGGAAGGCCAGTTGAAGCTGATGAAGACACAATAAAGGCATTAATTGATGCAAACCGGCGAATAACAACTCGTGAGATCGCTGAGAGATTAAATTTATCGAATTCGACCGTTCATGATCATTTGAAACGCGTCTGATTGAAAATCGTCTTTCATTTTCATAAGAAAAAACGAAATTACTTTCCGAACAACCTAATATATATGCTCGGCAAATAGAAATCAATCTTCTAAATCCTTCCTAAGTGCTCTAAAGAAAAAGTCGCACATTTGTGGGATACTGAAAGACGAGAAATTTAGATAATTTAACAAATTGAAGGACTCTTCCTATAAAAAATAAATAACAATAAATAAAGGGCAAAGTAAGAGTCAAGACATTTCTTGAAAAAAAAGTCATTCAATTATTAAAAGGATAAATTACAAGTAAAGAAAAATAAAATTGAAGAAACTATGTAATAAAAAATAAAAAATAGAAAGAAATTTAAATAGATTCTTGGGATTTTTTTTGCTCGAAACTTTTACATCTCGGAATATACGCATGACTAACTTGGCCTTTTTGGAACAACTAGCCTTTTGTATTTTATCATTTGCGCACGCGCATAAAATTGTCTTTAATGACTGTAAAAAAAAATATGTGCCGGACGAACGCGTTCAAAATTTGCTGCGCGTTGATTCCACAACCTGCGTTCATAAATTTCAGCCATCACCTAAACTGCGGTACATCCGGCGGGAATGAATTTTATAGAGTGAGATAAATATATACCTGGTCCGTGTGGGTATACACGGGCGTTATTTATGATCAAATCTGTCGAATTAACATTGCGTGTAACGCGCTCGTAAATAAGCGCCGCAAGAACTCCGGTAACGGCAAGTACATCCCTCCTATACAATATAACGTCTTAAGAGAATCGTTAATATTAAAAAAAAGAGCTTCAAAGCTGATAAAAAAAATTATGCAATTATCCAAACAAAAATTCGGCTCGAATTTTGTCATAAATATGAGTCACGATGTATATACGAATCTTTGAGACGTGTTACGAGTATTAAAATTACGAAATTTTTATATCTTAAAATTATAGAATATTGAAATTGTGGAAAATTTTACATTTTTTTCAAAAACTAAAGATTACAGAGATATGGTTCAGATAAGTGTACGTTATGAAATCTCACAGAAATTTGGATAAGAGGAAGCTGCGCGTATTAACAAAAATACTTTGCTCAAATCTTTTTTCATTTCTCGTTATTTCAGGATTTCGTAAAAATTTTCAAGTAGCTTAAAAGATTAAACAGATCGAATCTTTCACTACGTCGAACATATCATCTCGTCTGCAGTCCCCAACAGACGTCATCGACGTAAAACATCGGCCAGGCGTGCATCTGTCGCGTCGCGAGACACGCTCGAGTCGCTCATAAATATTTATTGATCGATTGTATTCGAGGCAATTGAACGGCGATGCCGGAATTGCGTTCGCGCGTGTCGCGTGAAATGCATCGGCCGTGGCGCAGCCACGTGAGTTGTGCAACCCGCCGTCGACGTGATTCGTCCAGTTATGAAATAATGCAGAACGCCTCTTGATTAAGCAACGCTTTAATGCACTTTGCATCGCGTCGCGTAATTTCGTGGAAACGAGCCGCAATCATTCACCGACGTGAATTCGTGCACCTCCTCACGGTTAAACGTGATAAATAAACAAGCGCATACGTGACAATCCAATCTGCATTTATAACTTCACCCGTAAAATACATCTTTATATTTAATTGAAGCTTTTTAGCTGGCAAATTTCGAGAAAACAGAATTTTGAAATAAAATTAAGCAGTGCGAAAGCGAGATATTCAAGTGATACATAAATTGAATTAAAGATACATGTAAATATTCTCATTTTTAATTCTACATACATATAAATATATCGTGCATGTTGTGATATTAATTGATTCGGAAAAAATATGTGTATTGAGTAGAAAATTTTTCTTAATAAAACAAACTCAATACAACCTAGATATATTTATAAGCACAACTTTTTGTTTACTTTTTAAGGTTTGGGAGAAGAGCACAATTTCAATAGATTAAGCGGGTACAATTAATAATCTAAAATATCACAATAATCTCGCAAAACTGAAAGTCTCGTACGATTCTGCCCGGCAAGTTTTCCTACCGTTTCTTGAATTTTTTTGAGCACTGTAGGAAATGCCGATAGAAAAATGTACAGGTAGACTGTAATTTTCGACGGGCGGTCTCCTTAACGACGCGACAGTTAACAGAACGATAAGACGAAACGAGCGTGCTGTCCATTCGAAATCGATTCAAGTGGGCGAGAACCGCGCGCTTTAACACCTACGCGATCCCGCCGGATAAGCAACGATCCCGACGACGAAGTTATGTTTCTTCGTGTTTGTGGCGCAGATAACGATCCTCCAGCTATTCGCCTGCTTTTATGTACAGAGCAGGTATTGTCGACTAATAACGCTTCCCGATTAGAAGAGCACGAATTCCGCATAAACGAATTCCGGCTCTCCCTGAGATCAATCAATACGCAGGTAGGTATCTGAAATCTTAAATCCCAGGGTTATAATTCATATTATGAATTATATTATATAATTCATATTAGTGTATAGATAGGAAGTAAAAATTTAATAAAAGTAAATTGATTTTTAATATATTATTAATATAAATAATGTAAATATTTAAGTTAGAATTAGAATAAAATATGAAAATATACAGGAATTAATTAATATTGGTGTTATTGTTGTGTAAATGAAGATAGAATTAAAATAGATTAATTGATTTTACGTAATGGGACGTATTTAATTGAGCAAGTTTTGATAATTAAAAATATTGCTAGTAAAAGGAAGATTATACAGATTAATGTAGTGTTAGTATAGGGCGATATTTTTAATATTTTTAGATAAGAGTTGTAAGTACTGAAGTCAGATATGTTACGTGTAATTTTTTCTTATTATTAGAGTCCGACCGAAACTTTTACCGAAACTAAAAACGAACACTCATTACGTATCAGTTTTGACTAAAATCATATATAGTTTTTTTCTTTATAAATATTAATTTTAATACGTATAATTATTGTTTTAATAATTAAATTATGACGTTTAATGAAGAAGTAGCACCTAGATTCTTTTGGCCAAAATTGACACAGCCGAAATTTCGGTTTTCGATTTCGGCCGAAATTTAACTATTGTTTCAACAAATTATGATATTTATGAAGAAAGAGTGTATGGTATATGGGCATATGTCTATACATATGGCCTTTACAGGATTCCTATTTTTTCAATTTTCGTTTCAGTTTTGGTTGAAATTGACACGTAGCCGAGTGTTTCTCGGGTCGGAACTCTACTTATTATTATAATTTTATAATCGTTGTGCATCCTTGTAATAATTTTTGTACAAATCAATGCAATCCGATAATAGTCAACAATGTGTTTTGGGTCTTATTTCATTCAAGTTCTTACTGCAGTACTTTTATTTGCATCGAGATTCTTACAAAAGAGATTCTTTAATATCTCTCCACTTTTCGATAGTAAACACCAGTCTGGGGAAAGCGGAACTACGAACGTAGACCAGCGTATCCCAGGACAGGATTTTTCCTTCGTGCGACAATGCACGTTTCCACGAAAGCGACATCAACCAACGACTACGCCGCGGGACGCCGCATTATTGCCTTACCACTGACAACGAGTTACAATGTTATTACACGTAGTTTTGCAATGGTAGAGTTGCCTACCGGGTTCACCCTTAGATAAGAAGAAGAAAAGAGAAAGAGAGAGAGAGAAAGATACTATCAGCAATTTATAGTTGATATAACGAATGACAGTCGTCGCGAATGGAGGAGAGTAAAGTCAAGGCAATAAACTGAAATATCGTTGTAACACTTAGATTCGCACGTTACGATCGGTGTACACGGAAAAGATCGAATCCACGAATGTATTGCCTGCAAACAAACGAGTTAAAAGGAAGAAAAAATCGTTGTTATTCATTAATCGCGGCCTGCTACTACGGTCTGTTGGTTATGCGCATGTACCGCTAATAATATTATTAATCTTGTCGTTTAAGTTAACATAGATCCATCTCGCGAACGTGTAGCGCATTCTTTGTAAAAAAAAAAGGGAAAAAAAAGGAAAAAAAAACAGTCATAAAAAACACTCCGTGAAGTGACCCGCATTTCATCTCCTTTTTTTTTCCTCTTCACATTAACCGTTATTCTTGGAAAAATAAGAAAAGTTACTCGACCTTCCGACGTCAATCCTAACCGTTTCTGAGACATTCGAGCGCGCGGTATTGACGTCCGCGCTGCTTGTTTGCGCACATGTGTCGAAAAATTGAGATAAGCCTGCTAAAATGGAATTTCAATGTCGATTTGAATTTTCGTCATTCAGACGGGGGGGACCAATTGCCGTGCGTCTGCATACCGCGGCTGTAATGACTTGTAGAAACATTTTTAGAAATTTCCGACGGCGACGCGAATCGGCGTAACGCGGAGAACGAAAATACGTATTAA